CAGGCTACCTATTCTCAGACTGAAGTAGTAGCAGGCCTAAAAAATATGCTGGATCGTACGTAAAAGCTAAACAGCTGCCACCAAGTTAACATTTGTCACAAGAAGTCATTACTTCCTGCTCCGCGTTGCCTGTCAATACGACAACGTCCTGTAGTGAGCCTGGACCCATCAGTGCTCGAGACTGATGAGAAATAGGTTACATTCATAATTCACTAAGCTATGCTACATGTTCAAATTGTTAAGTGCTTAAAGTTTTGAAGTTAATCGATGAAAAAATGTTGGGTCCTGGCTGGTCAGACGCCAGGGTAGTCCTGAATAATTGGCCGATGTGCTACGACGAACGCGATGACACGACGCATCACGTCAAACAATATCCTAAGATAAGTTAAAAAGGCTGATTTACAATGGCTTTAACATAATTGTTTTTTTTTTTGCTGTTAGAATTGCCAAAACTCGTTTCAATCGTATCTAGATAAAATGATTTTGTGCCTAACTTACGCATCTTTGTACATATTATTTTGTATTTCTATTTACTTGAAATTCGCTCGTCCTATAGCTCACTCTGGTAAGGCGTCCTTATCATAGACTATATGACAATTCTATCATTATCAATAGAATAAATCGAAAGGTCGTCAAATTCATTAGATCTTTTTTTAAGATCTTCTTAAGTACGATTACTCGATTTTTTATAATTCGAACTAGCGCATGAACCTATGCTAGAACATGTAGCAGCCTATACGTGTTGATATGTACACTTAAATGGCATTGCTTACGTTCTATGAGATCCAAATCACTATTCGAGCTCGATTGTCCTGTCAAATAAACGATTCTACTTTCCTGCTAAATGCGAGATGTGAGAAGATGAAGGGCTAGAAAATTTGTCCTGTTCACAAAAATGTATGATCGAATATATCTAGTCTAAGATGGACTCTCTCAGATTGCAAGACGGCATTTAAAATAAAGACTAGGTCTAGTGCCCCTAGACAGTTGCGTATAGGCACGAGTGAACACTTATGGTACACCTGCAGTGTTGTCGCTGGTATTAGCCTATTGGGTTTCGCCGTCGTTTGTTCATTTAGTTTTTGCGCCATGTGGGGCGAACCGCAGGCGACGTTGTCCTCCGCCGCCGTTATGGCCGCGTACTGTGACCGTGGCCGAATATTTTGTGGCGGGCGCTTTGGTCTTCAACTTCGTTGAGGTGTGCGCGCTCGCGTTCGTCTTTTTTTGTTTTGGGGTCAACTGCGCTACTGCCTCGTTTTCACACGATTTAGATAGGTTGATTCGTTGTCATCGTTGTTGACTTTTGAAAGTGCCTATCTCAGTCAGCCATAGGATTCGCTGTACCAGATGCGATGAAGCTTCAGTGATGCTTTACGCTTATTAGCCACTGCTACCGTTGTTCTACCACTGTTTGTGTCATAGAGCCGTGCTCACGTCGCGATATCCAGCTTGGTTTCTTTGCCGCGTCGATGTTGGTGCTGCGCACGCTCTCGCGCCGCAACCCCCGCCGTTCCTGCTATCGTTATGGTGAGTCTATTCGCGTTCGTCGTTTGTTGCCTTCGACTTTAACCCCATTTTCGTGTCTTCCTTCATTGCGGGTTTCTGACTCTGGCCGCCACTGCTGAATGCAGCATCGCTTCTGCCTTCTATGCGCACCATCGTTGCCATTTTTGATGACGTCTAGTAAATGTATATATGTCGCTATGTATCCGTTAGCTAGCATTGCTTCTTGCCAGTGATGGACGAGAGCCGTTGCAGAAGGCGGTTGCTGTCGCGTGTGGTAAGAGTAACGAGGGCCAGATACGCTGGACAGCATGATGCAGGGGCCGGCCCATAACAACAATCAGATATCTTACGCTTAAACCGTCGTTAGCTGTTTCGAGCAGCGCCCGAAGCTTCATAGAATAAAGAGAACTCAGCTCTGCGTAGGAAGCTTACTTTGGAACCGATCGTGGTTATTGGTGAACTGTGTCAAAGTGTGAGCCAGCGAAGCTAAGAAGTTACGGGCTTCAGTTGCCACTGCAGTGAACATTGTTATAGCTACGGGAGTGTTGTAAAAGCAGTCGAATATAGTATATGGTTTAACGATTAAGCTATTTTGGTCTGTTCTGGTTGGAAGTAACTTCGTATGTGTGGTATGTGCTAGCGACAGCATCATATAAGACGATTATCTCAGACAGCCTGAATAGGTGCCTTCTTTGACGTGGTACCCCATTAAGTGAGTGCGTTCTAGTGGCGCTACTTTTCATGAATGCTCTATTGGTATTATATATAGAGCAGCTTGATATATGATGATCTTCTACTGAGCGGCATGGTCCGAAATTTGCCATTCATTTATCTGAACGGGAGCAGTTCACAGCAATTGGGGATATTCCCCTGTCCATGCCACGTGACAAGCCCGCAAATTACGCAGAGGAGGCCGCAAAATCGTTTATGGTGACTATTGACTGAACCGTGTTTTGGCTGCACTAGTCTTAGTCATCAGCTGATCAGTGAGATCGTTTTGCGTAGTGTCTACGAGGATCGACAGTGCCTATTCGATACGAGCCGGAACGCGCTTGATAGACATAGTTCTAGACACTATTATACAGACAGATAAGAAGACAAGGACCGGAGAACCTAAAAGTGGAGAAAGAAGTGTATTTTCATTCCAAGACCTCATAACATCGTCACCAACTCTCTCTCTCTCTCTCTCTCTCTCTTTTTCGTTTTTTCTGTGTTACTATTCGAATGGACAGACGAGTTAGTGGCCCATCCACGGTTGCATTGCTTTGTTACACCTGGTCTCTGTCGGCATATGTAACAACGATTTGGAAGCGAACAGAGCGGGAGCCACGATGGTGACATCTGTCGTGACGCGCGCTCATCTCATCATTTCGACCACCTGACAGCTGTTGTTAACGCTCGTACTAGAGTACGAGCTCGATGTGTCAATGGCCAGGCCATTGTCCACACCTGCACCCTTTGTTTGTTAGGTCGGTAGCGTTATATCTGCGTAGCATCGTCCAATAGCTTGGAGCGCAGCCAATGCGGCAGCAGCAGCAGCAGCAAATATTTTGTCGTAGCGATCTCGTCACCAAACTTAAGCGAGAACTCGAACGGTCATGAAATTTCGTCATTTTAGATTGGCTACCAAGTTACTTACAGGTGCTACGATCGCCAGCTAGATTTCACCTAGTTTGACTAAGTAGGTCTAGGTTAGGAAAGCGTAGTCGACTGGACGACACTATTGCCCACAAAGCCGTGACCTTCACCAAGGTACCTGGGGTAGCTTCCACAGCCCGGACACAGGGCACCATCGGCCAGCTGCAAGGTAAGCTGCGTCGATCGAAACACAGTTACATCAGTGACGTTTGTTATGCGATTCGGCACCCCTTTTTTGGCTACGGCCGGCAGAAACGGTAACAAAAGTAAAGAAGGTGGCCATTTAAAGCAAGAACGACAATAGAGTTACCTGCATACGTAGTATCTAAAACTAGAAGACGAAATAATGCCATGCGCAACTGGGAATCTACATGTAGAATAAACAGGTCCTAGGGGGCCGCCAACATTAGGACGACGAAACAAATAAACGCTTGGGAATGTCCAATGGACTATTCTGCTTGGAGGATACTGACGAGGCAAGTGTGTGCCACAGCAATGATAGTTTAACAGATACTTAAACAACGATAAAATATATATAGTAAGCATTTATACACTCTGTAGTTATCGAATTTAACTGTCCTATATTCAAAACTGGTTAGCGGTATATATTTTGTTACTGATTTTAGCAAGATAGTTGCTTCGAGAGGTCTTTTAGCAGAACTTTGAATAGAAAGAACATGCCAGTTTTATTACTAGCCAGATATTAGTTGTTCGCACTTGGTGAGTACACGTGGGCGTTCTTTGGCAAAATGGGACCCCACTTCAACATATACGGCACGTCGTATAGGTGGGTGCTTATAGACAAGTGTTCAAAATGTCTATAGCTTTAATTATCTCTATTTAATCGATATCGTACATCAGTGACCATAGACGTAAAACACCTCGTTGAATATTTAAATTTAAACCTTTGGTTATGTTTGTAAAAATGTATTGCCCCTGCTGCCACTTTGGTCAGTGATTCAGACGCTGACCCTTCGCAGAACGATATCATGGTACGATTTCGGCACGTTCGTCTCGGAAAGTACACACAAGATGGCAAAGGGCGAACGCGAGCTTTTTATTTTTGCTATTAGAAGAGCTTCGCTTGATATGCGGTCCGGTCGGTCTTTTTCGGGCGGGCTTCGAGGCAGTGTTCACAATCAAAATGTCTAATTGAAATAGTTTTAACTGTACATACGACTGCTAGCAGCCGTCTAGCAAACATAAAATAATAAGGTTCCACAAAGCCTAGCGCTCAACAAAGATTGGCGGAGAAGCTTTGTAGATCGTCGCGATCATAATCAACGAAATCTCTGTCCATACTGGCATTTGAGGTCACGGGAGTGCACTAGAAAGGTATCTATTCCTTTCTTTTTCGGGTAATCTTTACCATTTTTAGAAACTGATCTACTTTGAACCGGCATCTGTAAGCGAGTGAAATAGTACCATCGTATATTGAAGGAAAAGCCAGCTCGATTAAATTATCTTGAGTCAGATATCCAGCCACTGATACTGCAAGCTAGCTCTCTCTCTAGTTCCATCAAGCTGAAGGGACAGATGGCCTGCTACAGGGACGAGGTGGTATAAAAAGCCTAATCTGACAGACGCAGTGATCAGAGGATCAGATGACGCATGACACTGATTGAATTCCCCTTGATCTTATAGGTGCACATTTGTTAATGACACTAAGACAAAATAACGAGCAACAATAATAATCTTAATAATGGATCGGCCGACGACCCCTATATATACAAATAGTAAAAAATAATAGCGCGCGCCCCGATCAACGGATATGCGTCCTAACCGAACGCTGCAACATTACCAATAATGGCCAAATTAAGTGGAAAAATGCAAGTACTATTTTCTATGTTTTACAGAATGTGCCGGCATATAGAGAAGTATTTACTGCAAGCAGGACCTGAAAGTTAGGTGGCGACGATGACATTTCGGGACATGCTATGCCATCATACGTCTATTATGATACTGGATTAGGATCCCGATACTTCTGGGAGACAAAGACATGACTTCTGCAGGATAAGTTATGTGTGCACGGTTTGCGAACGTGTCTCTTTCTCCACAGAAGGGCAGCACCTCTACAGTCACCAGTTTATGAAGGGCGGCGCCGTACCCATGAATAACAGCAAGAACGATCCAGAGCGGCTGATCTGCTGCTCCCGCTGATACTGTCGTAGAACAGAGTTTGGGATTGGCCTAAAGTTTCGGGATGTATGGCAACAAGGCGTACATATAATAATTAGTGGAAGCTCCGTCTGTCTTTACGCAAATGCAGAGTCAGCGGTGGCGTTTGTATCAGCGGAAGAGCAACAGAGTGCGCGGATCGGTCTGGCGCCGTTGCCTGCTATGGTGCTATGTTACTCCACAGTCGCTAACGTGAGCACTCATAACTCGAACGTCTGTTTAGCATTATACCAAGCTAGCAGTATTCGTCGGGCTTCCGCAGTGCGTTCCCTAATTGCTTAAAGGAGAGTGCCATTTGCAGTTCGGTCCGACGTCTGCAATATTTTTGACACACGGGGGGGGACAGAGAAGAGGCGTTAAAAAGGAAGTATCTACCGGGGTAGCATACGCTCTCAGTCCTCATCCCTTCGCCACTGTTCAATCAAAAACGGGTGAGTTGAACTTGGTAGTTATGCTGATACATGTATCCATCCCTATTACCCCCCATTATCCCCCATCCTATCCGAACAGTTCTGGACACCAAACTACGACAGACTCCACAATAGCCGGATTCGTCGAATGCACAAAAAATATTAGTTTGAATATCAGCTTGTTTGGCGATAGAAAAGAGTTCATTTCGGCTTGAAATGGAAATGAAGATATACTATAACAGGGTGAGATCTCTATTCAACTGTTAGGCAACATAAATGTCAGTTGACGTGCTCATAACCGTTCATTTCATGTTGGAGAAATCATCGATTGTAACGACAATTTCACAACTTCATCGACAGACATTCGATGGCACATTAATGACTGAATATCTCCACAGAGACACCCACTAGCATCTAGCTCATAACAACGGTCTGATCGACTCTCTGACATATGAATGTTGTTTACGTTTCGCGTGCGGTAAGGTGCGACGGTGGAAGACTAAGAAAAGGCGTGAAAGCGATATTGCGCATTACCGACTGATTCACTCTTACGTCTTGCCAAAGCGTCTGCAGTTATTCGAAGGCTGTTACTACTCCCGCGGCTGCCACTGAATGCCGTTGCCATGTGCGGTATAGTTGTGCAGATACGTGCGCGGTGTCGTAGAAATGGAGGCGAGGTACTACAGGACAACGTTTCAAGATAAACTGACTTGTAAGTCTAGAACCAAATGGCGTCAATATCGAAGTCCTGATTGCATCTTTGCGACGGCTATGCTTGTTGCAAGGGGTATTGCTATATATAATGAACAGACGTCCATGTATATATATACATATATATATTATCCGGTAATAGTTTATCTCGTTGTAACAAACACAGTCCGCTGCTTCTAGGTGCCCATCGATGCTTGCTAGAGTCATCAAAAGAGGATGGCCTTCATGCTATTTTGCCCCGGAGAATAATGGGTAGTGGGTCTATCTAAATTTACAACGCCGATTCTGCAACCAGCTTTGTGTGCTACCGGTCTACTAAGCTTCAAAGCGTATTCAGAGAACGAAGTATCCGTCTGGTGGGTCTTACCAGCTGCCTGTCATTATGCAACACTGCTGAATGCGCCGCTAGGCCTATGCCTAAAACTAGAAGCCTAAAAAGCAGAACCTTAGGTGCTGGTAACTCAGAAAAAGCCACTGCTCACTGGCAAGCTCTGTGTTAACGCATGGTGGTATCGTATGTCGTACGCACATGGCACCAAACTATGGGAGATCAAGCTGAACCTGGCCCCTTTTCTCAATTCCCCAACTTGCTTTCCATTAGCTAAGCAACTGACTTAAGTACAGTATACTTCTTGCGTTGTAACATATGACATTCTTCATTTCGTGGCCGCCAACGTACGACGACTGCTCGCTATCCCGCTTTTTCCATCTCTCCTATTAGGCATTATGAGAGCGCCACGCTGCGCCATGTTATTCAGGCAAGAGCCAGACAGGATAAAGCAGGTAGGTAGATTTACTATAGCAATAGCCAGGCATAGTCGTCAATTCATGCGTTCGTAGTTCCGGCCTTCTCTACATAGCACGCTGGAGAGCGTACAGCTGTGCTACGGCTATTGTGGACGCGCGGCGAGTGCCAATGGTGGTTAGGGAATGGATTCGGTACCGGCAGCGACAGAGAGTGGTATTTGATACAGAATCCGAATGACGATAGCCTCTGGCATGTTAGGCGGCCTGCGTTTAGCAGAGACTATGTCGATGTTTGCTGCATGGTTAGCTGGCATGACACGTCTACCTAAGACTTCAGCTGGCGCCAATGGCAATCCGGAGTATTTGGCTGGGCTCGAATGTGAATCCCTCAGAAACAACCACTGTAAATAGTTGATAGAGGTGCAAGAATCATTGTCTTGCTAATTGCTTCATTTAGTAGCTCACTGGACGGGAGAGTTGGAAAAAACGGGTAAAACCATAACAAATCGAAGGGAAAAAAGACCATGTGTAGATCATAGCGTGTGGAATAAAACATGGCTAGGGTTCTCTGTATCCTCGTTAAGGTAAAAATGAGGCTGAGACGCTTTGCGCCAGCGGGCCATCGGCCTCAGTGCTCGGGACAAGCTTACTTTTCAGGTTGGCATCATCAGGCCGTCTCTAACGCAGGAAAATCGCGCATCCAACTGCATGTATCCTGTGCTGGTAGATATATGGTCGGAAATTGACTAAGAAACCGCTGGCCTTCAGGTCAACCTAAGTATGCTACATGGTAAATTAGCAGGCCACGATAAATAGGTTAGTAAAGCAAATAGCAAACGAGATACGTTACTATCTGCAAAGCGGTTTTGGTGATGGTAACGCTTGAAAGCTCCTGGCGTTTTAGTATACAAAAAAAAGCGATAAAAAGGACGAGTTAACATTTTAAGGGGATCGGTGGCTGTTGCTTATGCGCGTGCTGATTTCGCTTTTACCTCGTTCGTTCGTTCGTCCTTGGCCCTTGACGCCAACAAATCCAGGTATGCATAGATGTCATTAAGGCCTATTCGCTGCCACAATGCGATATATATTCGAAGCGTATGTGTGTCTGGCCCACCGCTTCCGTTTTTATTCTAACGGAAAACTAGCGACACTGAAAAATCAAGAAGAAAAAAACAAATAAGATAAATGTTCGTTACCGTAGCCACACCGTGGTTCTACCGTGTTCCCCCTGGCTCTATCTGTTATCTTGCTCTTTATTTAGTTTCGCGGCAGCAGCCATAACAACACAACGGTAGCTGCCTTTTTTCAGGCCCAGCGACTGCTTTCAGGACGCTTCTGCTACTTTGACTATTGCAGTTAGCGTAGCCTTCTCATTTGCCATTTAGCACCACTTTGTCCCGTTTTCATAAACGCGGTTTGTTCTAACCCGGTTGTTTTTTTCTGCCATTGGCGTCGGCGTCGTATCGTCGCACTTGAGTATTCCTCTGTAATTGAAAGACAATGCTTTAATAATGTACATTGTCTTGACGGTATTTAGCGATTAGGCGGTCTGTGTTTTGCTATGGTGGCGCTACTGGAGAATAGGTCTGCCAGAAAGGCGAGCGAGAAATACGGACATAACACCTGAAGCGCCGGGGTAGTGCCCGAATTTTCATGCACCTATACATGTAGATCATTGCTTCCTGTTATATTTGAATTCAGCCTTGTATAGAACGAAACACTAGATTTTTGACTTCAGTCGACTCATACGGTTAGCGGTCCGACTCCGCGTTTTTTTTTTTTTTACTAGCAAAAGCTTGCGCCGCGACTTCATACTTCGCGTTCAGAAGTACGGAAACTGCGAGAGAACAGGAGACGCTATCGATCGCCAGCAGTTGCGTAGCAAATATCTCGTTTTAGATAAACGGCTTATGTCTGATTATCTAAAAGCAGATGTTTTTTTTTTTTTTTTAAATAATTTTCGTTTCATGATTGAAAAATAAGTTCTGTAAGAATGACACACGAAGTTGGCAAAATATGTACGAGTTGACCGCTTAGAACATGCGTTCACATTTGCAATGCGCCGCAATCTATCACGCTAGGCGAAAGACATGAATCAGTATTAAATTATGATTTATTAGTAGAACTATTTACTGTAGTATACGCCACCCGAAGGCGATCATATACATGACGGTATATGATTGCCTTCGGGTGGTATATTTACCTGACTGTGTCCTTTTCGGCCTGTTTTTAATAGTAGGTTTTGATATCGGCGTACAAGAGTGGTGTAAATAGTGAACGCACACATATATATATACGCACTTGCTCGATATCATAGGTGTACACATGTAAAAAAGGCGATAAATATTTCGTAACAAACGACCTGGGGTCGTCAGTATTTTGTCTTCGTTAACACGATAAGAACCACTGCTATTCCTAGTAAGCAAAATTTCAAAAACTAACGATGGTATTATAATCGCCGGATATTACCGAATGTCCGTTTCCTGTCAGTTTGCGCGGGTTGGTGCGGCTATTGCCGGGAGCTGGCGGGCAATTTTTAGAAACATCATGGTTTTTCCCCTGTTAGTTAGATGCTGCTATATTAGAGGTAGTAGTAGTCATAGCAGACGACAATTGTGGAAGCTAGACCCTTTTTGGCGAAGGTAGTGGCAGCCTCGCGAAGTCTAACTTACTGAATCCTAGACTAAACTAAAACCTATTTTTTTACATTTTCGCTATTTTCCCCTTTTCTTTCACTATTCCTGTCTGTTCTGGCCGGCTGCCTAACGGAGCAGCGGCAACAGTGAGAACGGAAGCCGTGGTGCCTCTGAAAAAAGTTCTGCCCAATGAACCCGCCTCGAGGAAAATGGCTGGCAGATAGTTTCTCTACGATTTTTGGATAGCTTCAAAGCTAATGCCCGTTCGTAGCGGTTGCGAAAGAGTCCTTCCGCGGCCAATGTCTATGCCAGCGAGTATTGTGAAGAATTTCTTTTTTCAATGTGTCTCTCTTTAATTGGTTTATTTTCTGTTACGCGATTTGGACGGTAGGAGTTTACAAAGAAAAAGAGCTTCTAACAGTCGTCACGTGAGCCAGGCATTTCTCGAATTAGGGAGCACTATGGTGATGATAATAATGAGGACGTTGATCATTGGGGACGCCTCCGCGGTCCAGTGAGTAATAAAGGCCAAGTCCCGTCCCGGTCCGTGTCCCTATCCTCGCTGTCTCCTCTTCTAGCGAGACGCCCACAAAAGAAGTCGACCAAGTGGATTTCGAGCCGTCATAGTAAGTTACTCGAATTGACTGCAGTGGCGATTGAATAGATATTGCACGGAACCGCTGGGAGGAAATGGATACTTTGAGAGGACTAGTATCAAAGAGGAGAAAATAGGCTTGAGCGAGTCTATAGGGAAAAGGAGTAGAGCGTCGCTTCTGATGTGCTGTAATAACGTCCTCATTTTATTTCGAAGTCTCTATTCGCTGGACGCAACGAATTCTTCATCGAACATTGGCATGAGCGGGAAAAAAATTGACGTTGTGCGGCTACGACGTCGCAAGGACGCCTCGGTTTATTCTGTTACCCTTTTTTTTTTAATTGAAGCAGCCCAACACAGTCGATACTCTCAGCTGTTCTTTAGTACATTTAGGGACAGTTAATGGAAAACTGTTTAATGACTAAAATGAACATTGGGGTAACAATTCGGTCTGCTTTGATAAAAATTCTGCGACCTGTATTATAACAATGTTTAGTTGTAGCCGAATGAGCAACAATGAAAAAGCAAGTTAAATAAAGCGATAGAGAACTTGAGCCTCTTCGACATCGAGAGTGGTGCATGCTTGCCTTTCATGTTGAAGAAGGTCGACGCAGCTGAACTACCCCCAAAGAAAACCGAAACCTTCCAGATAAGTCACTTTGCAGTTTACGTAGCGTCCTTATTAACGCAACATACTGCCTATGCGCATAGACACATTACGAATAATGTATGTGTGTGTAGATAAACTGAAGGAGTCTGACTGTTATACGTTCGCTTTTCGCTGCTCAATGGCATTTCAACGAGAAATTGTGCCCATTTATGGACATAGGCTTAATAAATAATTTGCTAAGGAATAAAGTTGCAGGAACGCTATACTGTTACACCGTAATAGCTGCTATGTGATTGCTAGCGATAGATTTGCATTTGTATTGGCCGGCTATTACCTTAACCCGTTGTCAGGCACTTTTTTGGTCACGAAACAGCGACAAAACGCTCGAAAGAATGTTTTGTCACGATAATACT